AAAAAAAAAGGGACGCTATAGGATGTGAGGGGTCGGGAACACTTTTTGTGACGTAACAAGTCTCTGGAAATTGATTTCGTTTCGCAGATCTGAATTCTGAGAAGAAAAAAGTGAGCTCAGAAAGCTCCAAAATAAGGAAATAATTTGATATAAAATAGTTTCTTTTTGGTTCCAGGTGGAATTAAGTGACAGCTTGCCCGTTGTGGTCTGAATTAAGACTATTGTTCCACACGTAGAGTCCTGTAGAATCCCTACCATTAAAAAGCTGTCACATCTTAATTTGAACCCAAAAGGGTACGGGTTTTGGTGCGTTGTAAGATGTGACAGCTTTTTTGCAGTACAAAATATACACAGCTCTACATGCGGAACACCCTGCACCTCAAGCTGTCACTTAGTTCCACCTGGAACCAAAGAGGAACTATTGTATATCAAATTATTTGTTATTTCAGAGCTTTCCAAGCTCACTTTTTTCTTCTCAGAATTCAGATCCGCAAAACGAAATCGATTTCGGAAACTAGTTAGGAAGGCGCCAACTACTGGGCTTCACTCTTATATTTCTGAGCTCGGAAAGCTCTGAGCTCAGAGCTTTTTTTTTCTCAGAATTCAGATTGGCGAAACAAAATTGACATCTGGACACCGCTTATTAGCATGGACTAAAATCAAAATAGAAATTGATTCCAAGAATGGATTTCTCTTAACATAAATCACTTACTACTACTGGAAGCTCCTCTTGCACTTCAGCAACTTCACCAACTACAGGATCAGCATCAACTTATCCTCTGACTCCATCCAGAACTTCAATAGGCATATTAGAGGCAATTCTTTCTTCTTCAGTCAAGCTTGCAATAAAATTCAGTGCTTGATTCTTCAATCTCTCTCTCTCTCTCTCTCTCTCTCCCTTCCATATGCAGTTTCCTTGATAGGAGTTATCTCATCCTCTTTCAGTTTCTGTAGCAAAGTCTCATCAGAATGAGTCCAAGAAGCTGATGGAGGAGCAGGAACATTTTTCACTGCCATCCACTTATCCACCAGTTTGTCTTTCTTAGTGGGGATTTTCCTTTGCTGTTTCCATCGGCACAAAATTATGCATTGCCCATGGTACAAACATGATCCCTGTGTTATTTTCACCTGATAATTTCACTCTTCTTGTTTTGTTACACCTCCTGATTCAATCTTCAATTATTGTTTCTTTGCTCTTTCTTTCATTCTATTCAACTGACTAAGATGCCCAAGAACGTTTGAACTCCCCCTCCTGATTCTTTGTAAGGCAAACCAGCAAACAGCAAGATGGTGTTAACTTATGTGTTGGAGCTGCTTGAAGCTAGCAACACTCCTGCAACACTCCTGGTGGAACACCAACACCAACACCAACACCAACACCAACA